GAAAGTTTGAAGGGAGCGGGGTGCAAATCGAAAGTTTGTCCCCGGGTACAAATTGGACCCCCCCCCCCCCCCTTGAGACGATCCTGGCTACGCCACTGACTATAACTGATAACTACTGTGTCTGATAGGTCTAAGTCTGCCCGAGTTTCCGTTTGGGCTTTTCAAATATCTATGTAAATTAAAGGGCGTTATTGTTCATAATTGACATAAAAACAAATCCTAATTTATAAAAGCCCAATGTGCGCACATCTCTCTCTCTCTCTCTCTCTTTCTCTGTCCGCAAAAAATTTTCGCCGGACATCACGTCAGAAACGGCAGCGATATATCGAGAATTTTTTACGGACTTTTGTTGAAAATAATATGTTAGATGTTTTAAATGTATAACCACAATTTTACTTAAAGAAGAAAAATAAAAATTTAAGGCGTATTCGAATGTAGAGAAACAGTATTATTTATGCAACCGGAAAAGCATTAATATATGTGAAAAAGAACGCATAAAACTGTGACGTCACTATTGCTTATACATTAACTAATGACGTCATCTGCCGTGTTAAGAATGAAAAGAAATGAACTATTTCATTCAAATTTGATTTAGATCTACGTACACTATGAAATGTATACAATACAATTTTTCCGGCCTAAACTCATAAAATTTATTTTATGTATTTGGATTCTAGATCTAGAGATTCTAGATCTAGACTAAATCTAAATCTAAATCTACGCAATAACTAGATCTAGACGTAGACGCTAAGATCTAGATTTAGACTCTAACTTCTCTAAAATCAATTCCAAAAATAAATGTCTATATTAGGACTAAACTATTTCAAGACTTATTTATTTTATACAAAATCTTTGTTTGGAACTGGCTAATTTGGGATAAAAAATTAATTTGAAAGAATAGGCATATTCGCGTAAGTTAAGATTTTAAAATACGTGTTTCATTCTCCGTATTTTATAAGGTGCCTAAATAGCGGAGATGTTAGTGTACATTAAACCACGCAGGTGGTGCGGGTTCGAGACACAGCAAGTCAACTTGGTTAATGTATTCTTTTTTATTATGCTCGGGCTAAATTTAAAAAAAAATTCTTTTAGGAATCTAGATCTAGATCTAGATTGTCGGGTGTCCGATAGGGCACTTCCCGGCGCCGCAGGCGCTTCAAATTTGGCATGATCTTGCCTTGGTGCGACAGAACACGGGGGCCGGTTGGCCGAAAAGGCTACGATGTGGGGGTCAAAACTGACCTCGACTGACCGGTACCTTATATGAGCTATAAATCGAAAAAAAATGTCCACGGAGGAACCTCTTCATAACTCTTGAGGTCGTAGACCGACCTTCGGGCGAATTAATTAAGCATTCAAATTCTCAATGTTTTCGAAAGCCTAAGCGAAGCTGGGCAGCATGCCTAGTAAAATTATAGTGTTCAAATATATCTAGATCTAAATGTTAAAAAATATGGGAAGATTTAGAACTATAAAGATAAGTTATATTATATGAAAATGCGACCAACAAAAAAAGCGAAATAAAATCTCTAGAGATCTAATCTAGATCTATATAGAAAGACTAGATGTAGATTGTAGATCTATATTCCAGTTTCTAACAGTAAAAAGTGGAAGCTTGGCAGAGTGCTCTCTTTCAACTGTTTGGGTAGATCTATATTTTAATTTTAGTCAAAAGGGGCCTACTTTATTACTTTTTGTGTGTAAGTATTTAGAATCTAGATCTAGATTTCTAGTATGATCTCTAGGTTTAGTTAGATTAGGAGCATTCACGTTCACCTCCGGTTGAGCCTATTTTAAATAATTTTATTGTAAACACAACCAAACCCAAAACACACAAGTGACAAAAATTATTTTTAAATTAATCATTTGGACATTAGGGCAGGGCAGGGTCTAAAAATATTAGGAGTATTTCTTTATGAATTTATATTTTTATAGTGATAGTATTATAGTATTAGGCATTAGGGTCAGTTATGACAGTACAGGTTAAGTTAATAGCCTAGTAGATCTAATTATTTATTATAAATTAAGTTTGGTTAGAGTTCAGTCAAGTCAGTAGAGTAGAGAAGTTGAGGGATGATTATTAATTTATTAATTATTAATAATATTATAGATACCGGTGTCCGATAATAGACTTTTCCATAATATAGGTGTGTTGGGTTGTTTGTATTGTAATCTCGACTAATTTCCTGGTTAGAAATTAGGGTTAGGTGTATATGCCATATGGTAGGACCAGGGTTTGGGTTAGGGTTGACATTAGCCAGCCGGCCATGGGTTTGTGTATTATTATTTAGTTAACTACCAAGTGGGGGTTCAGTACTTTGAAAGTACTTTCAGAGTACTTCACTAATAATTTGTGTAACTGAGTTTTTGCCGGCATTCTGCTGGGAATACAAAGGGTTGACTCAAAATATCGTCCACTAGAGATTTTAAACATTAACTTTGTATTTAAAATTTAAACAGTTTTTTTGTATTCATTGTGGATAGATTAGCCAACCTTCATGATGTCTGGAGATTCAAATGAAACAATGTGGAATATTGATATGGAAGTTAATCTTTTTCATGCAATGCGAGGGCACAAACCTGCAGGTAATTTGTTTTAAGATCTTGATTGTATTTAGACAAGTTATTTTAAAATAACTTTTTGTTATGTTTTTCAAAATATTGTGACATTCACATCTTAAAAATTTAACAGTCAATTATTCAAAATTAAGATGAAAAGGGATTTTAATCTCCAAGTCCTCTACTATGGCAACTTGATTAACTACATATTATTAAAATTATTTGGGATCTAGATACTACCCTTTAAGGTTATGTTTTAAGTCTGAAACATAAAATCTAGGTTTTTTATATTAGATTGTAAGCAATATGAAAATGAAATTGCATTAAACAAAATTTAATACATGTTGTAAAGCCTGAAATGTGCACTATTTTGAGGTGACAGTTTATTGTCAGTCATAGATATCTCTATACTTGAAATTTACTTGGTTGCTTGATGTGGCAGATAATTATCACAAATGCTAACGGACTTCTTTGTGTCATAGTCTACACAGAAGTAGTAGTCATACATACTTAGTTTAAAAATAACTGTATTTGGAGCAATAATGATTAACAAAACTCCAGAAACTTTAAATGTAGTATAGGTTTTTCCATAAGTTTAATGCACTCAGTTCCATAGCAGATATACTCTAGAGATGTGAGAAATGCTGTTGGTAGACCTAATTGCTTATTAGCTTCACTACTACAAAATTATGTCTTAATTTAATTTTGAATTTAGTAATTATAATATCAAGGTTTTGTTTTGACAAACATCACTTGGTTTATGAAGAATTATCTATCAGTTTGGCTACATTTTCATATATTTTTATTTCCATAGGAGTAAATCGACACTTCCAAATGTTATCAATTCATGATAGACTTAGCTCAATGTGTAAAAAGATTTCTGCTCAAGATATTTGGACTCACCTGTCAACCCTTTATGATTTGCAAGCACTGGTATTTATACATTTCAGTAACTTTTATAAAACCACAAGCTATTTGTTTAAAGAACAGAGTTAGTGACTTTTATTTAAAAACCAGTAGGCCCCTACTTGATTTTGTAACTTGCAAAAAAATATATACGACTTTTTTTATTAGACGGTGGTAAAAATTAAAGTTAGTTTTACCTGGAATTCTGTTAAAATATTTTAAAATGTTAACTATTTATTTGTTTTTCACCACAGTTGTTTTCAAAGAATTTCTAGAAAAAAAGAAAATTAAAATGACTGAAGAATTATTGAATGTAAAACTGTTTTAAATAGTTTAATTCTTTAAATAAAATCATTTAGTAAGTTTTTTATCCACCTATTAATCCTGCCTTGACAACTTTATTCTGTCTTTTAAACTGTCACCTAACTATTGTGATTAAACAAAGTTTTTACATTTCAGAATGAATCAGAAATTTTGCCATTTCCAAACAAAGAGGGAGAGTTTGAGTTGCATGAAAATGAAATGAATGATCAAAGTTTTCCAAGAACCCCATTCTTTGGCTTACCTTCCACAGAAGATGGCAAATCAGAAGGTGGGTAAAGCAAATTTAAAATGAAATTCAGTTAGAATATTTATTACATTTGTTAACATTCAATTTAGTTGCAGCTATAAATAAAAAGGTTACCAATTTTAAATAATTAGATCTTAATAAAAACATATTTTAAGACTCAAGTCATGCTGTAAAAGAATTGCTTAAAAATTACAAACAATTCTTTTAATAAAGAAAAATTGAGAAACATAATTCTTAGATCTTTAATCTCTGTAGGTCAGGTGAAGATATCTAGTAAGAGTAGCAAGTCAGACCCTAAGCCTCCAAACCATACCTCTAAATCAGAAAGCAAACTAGATTTCAAGCCAATCAGCCTTACCCCAAAGTCTGAAAACAAACTGGAATCAAAATCAGCAAGTCATACCCCAAAGTCTGAATTTAAACATGATGCTAAGCCTACCAGCTATACGCCAAAATCAGAAAGCAAACAAGACTCTAAGCCAGCAGGTCATACCTCCAAGTCTGAAAAGCAAGATTCAAAGCCATCCAGTCATTCTTCAAAATCAGATATCAAGCAAGAATCCAGGCCACCTGGCCATACACCCAAGCCTGATAAGCATGATTCCAAGTCAAGTAGCCACACCCCAAAATCTGATATTAAACAAGAATTTAAACCCATCAGCCATACCCCTAAGTCTGAGAGCAAACATGATTCAAAATCATCCAGTCACACACCCAAGAGTGAGGTGAAGTCTGAAAGTAAAGCCTCAGCCAGCAAAGCTGAGAATCGTCTGAATACGCCAATACGCTCAGAGACTAAATCTAACCACAGCTCCAGCAAAACACCTGGTTCTCATGAACCCTCCCCCAAAAGAACAAAACGCACAAGGCATGTGTCCTCTACAAACAGCCCTGCCTCTGAGAACGCCAAGAGGCGCAGGTGATGAGAATCAACCATAGATATAAAATACTAGACACAAGAGTATTTCGTGTAAGGATTTTATTGGTGTTTCTGATCTGTCAATATATACATACATGTCTCTTTGTGATGTCTGAACAATGTGCATGTTTAAGAAATCAAATTGTTGATAGTATTGAGAGAGGGAAAAATACATAAGACATCAACTATTGGAATTTTAAATGAACAAAAATATTTTGTAAATGTGCACATCAATGTATATGTACTATACTTCAATAAATACTATGAACTAATAGTTTTTTAAAATTTATTTACTATATATATAAACATAAGTTTAAAATTATAATCACTGTAACAAAATTCATTCAACAACAGGTCATTATAATATAAAAATACATCATTATATTTTATATGTAACCAGAACTAGTGCCATTTTTGCACAAGTAGCCAAAAATCTGTTTACACATTCTGATTATTGAACAGCCCATTTCAACACTACACAGAATATGTAAATTGTTATAGAGAATGTGTAGAAGATTTAGCTAGAAACATTTTCATAGCTAGAGTTGTCATGTTTTTACAATATAATTGCTTGAACGATCTGTACAACCATCTACGTAAAAACAGATATTATACACAGCAATATAACAATTTAGATGTGTAGAGGTAAATTCCGATGTGTAGAGGTAAATTCTTTACCATAGATGCAGCTTACTATTTTGTCACAAGACTAAAATATATTTAAACACTGAGAATCTTCTAATACTTGACTGAAAAAAAATCAGAACATATAAAACCAGACTAAGGTAAATAAATAACTAAAAAAAAACAGCACATTACTGACACATATTTACAGTGATTCACAAAAAAAGTGAGAAATATATGTAAGATATGTGAAGTTATTATGTCAATTTTACCTAAAAATAACCAGTGAGAATTTTATGTATATGTACAGAATGTAAATGGCTACTATACCAAATGCTTGAACAAATTTTATGTGTGAATATTCTTAACCTATGCATAATTTAAATACCTAGTCTTTGAAAGAGTACAAAGAAATGGAATAATCAGAATTAACCTTCATAAGCGAACCAGGCCAAAAAAACCATCCCCACCACACCATCAACTGGCTGATGTGACCAATTCAAATTTATATTCTTGAACCCTTATTACATATCTATATTTAAAAATTAAGAGTTAAAATGAACAGCTACATTTTATCACGAATACAATGCGCTGAACTAAATTCATTTATACTGAACAAAATGTAAAACATAGTCCACATTTGTGCTGTAGATGAGCTCTAGTAACTACAGATGTCCACCTTATTGCCATAAGTTTGTTGATAGAGTCTGACCAGCATTTGGTTGACCCCATCCAGTAGGATTCACTGGCTGAGTAGCTGCTCCACCTAGCTGTAGTGAGGACATCTGTTGCTGCATCTAAAAAGAGAGAATTGTTCTTGTTTTAATTAAATGGGGGGGGGGGGGGGGGGGGGAGAGTTTACATGGCTTTTCATCAGGGGAAAAATAATTATTAGAAAGAGCAGTTTCTTTCTAATCCAGAAGGTCTAGAAATGGATATTATAAAAAAATAATGCATTTTATATTTATACTTTAGCATAAGAAACCAACATTTCTATACAGAGAATAGATGATGTGAATCCACTTGTAGAACTTGCTAAGTAAACTTTTTAAAAAAAGGTGATATCGTCATAGGCTGGCTCATTATTTTAAAAATTTTTGTTCAAAAAAGATCAACTTATATTAATCAAGAAAGTAAAAAAAATTGAAAAATCTTAAAATTAGAGTCCTTGTTTCTCTCACCTGCTGATACTGAAGTTGTTGAAGCTGTTGGGAATTATACACGTTTGGTGTTCCATAAACTGGCATCTAAAGGAATTTTAAAATCATGTTATTAATGTATTTACAAACCAGTTTATAAGTCTTATCAAATTTATAACAGAAAAATTAGTTTATTCTAGTTACAAAAAAGTATAGGTTAACCTAAGAACTAATGTTTGATAGTAATGATCCAATGTAGTTTTTTTTTTAAAAACTCAGTACATTTTAAATGATTATTCAAATAATTTTAAAAATATATTTCCCACTTCCTGTAAACATGATGATGAAATTAGACCTGATTATTTAATTAGTTTGTAGCTGCCACAAAAATTAATATTTGTGGTTTCATCTAACCACTCCACTTAATGTCAAAGAATCCCCTTAAATATGTCCTTGTTTTTTTTGGCAAGCTAAGTCTAACGTTTTCATTTTATTCAGTTTTTAACCACAAACACAATAGTTCAAAATGTACATTTTATCTGTAATTGTCATTAATTTATGTGAAGTTACCAACACTTGTTATGAACTTACATTTAACGCAGGATTCCTTGGTGCCATCATGCCTGGCATAGGATTCATCTGCCCAACCATAGCTTGAGGTCTTACACCACCAACGGGTCCCATCATACCCTAAAGTACAGTACAATAATCATCTAGCACTTATCTTAAAGTTCTGAAGGTTGCAAAATATTTTTTCAAGTGACAAGATTATGTATATACAAGATTATACAAATGGAATTTTGTAAACAAACATCGCAGATAATAATGAATATAGAATGTGTTTGAAAAATTAGTTCTTTGGTTAAAAAAAAAAGTAAGTACAGTATATCTTTTTTTTTTACCAGAACCTAGCAATTTAAATGTACTAATTCTTATTTTACTGTGGCGTAACATCAGGATTTGTTGCTCTTTGTTATGATTCTTACCATTCCTTGTCCAAGCATGCCAGGTGTAGGTCCAACCATTCCTGGTGGTACCATCTGCTGACCCATTGGCTGTCCCATCTGCTGACCCATTGGCTGTCCCATCATTCCAGGATAGACAGGCTGGTTCTGTTGCATGTAAACACCTCCTGCGCATGCAAATTTGATCAGTTTAAAAAAATATGTCTAATAATTCGGTGATGAGTATAATACAGTTTGAACAGTTAAAAATACATGCTCTATAGCAACCTTTTGGTGATGAGAACGTGCATGTTTTTATAAAAGTCAAGTATTTTAGAAATGGTAGTAAATAAAAAATAGTACAGATAAAAACTTGAGACTGCAGTGAAAACTATAAAAAGAGTGAAATAATACAGGATGGAATCAAGTCATGCTAAATTTGTCAAAAGCCTAAGAGCTATTCCATGAAAAAAGTTACCTAATAGTGTAAGACAAACATGCCTTAAATTACAATTAAAGAAGAGCTAACCATGTAGATTACATCATGTCATTTTAATTAGGCTCATAAAAAAATTATGCAAAAAAAGTGCAAATTAATGCAATATAATGATGCTTTATTCAGTTACTTATGTTAAAATTTTCTGCTATGCAATTTAAAAAATAGCTATTTTTATGAAACTTTGTCACTATAAAGTTATTTTCTTATATTTATTAAGGACAATAGAAAAGAGCTAGCTGACTGCATCAGACTGTTGGTGTGGTTTAATATCACACTGATGTCAGTCTAGCACAATGTAAATTTCCAAATGAGTAATATACACAGTTTACATTTCAAACTAATTTTTGTGTAGTTAAATTATAGCTTGGGACAATGACCTAAAAAACATAGTAAAATTTAAAAGAAGAAGCCACATCAAGAAACAAAAAGTATGGCTAAACTAAAAATAATAGTGTGCTTTCCCTTAACAATGAACAGTTGCTGATTGTCAACATAACAATAATCATGGACACAATGATAATTTTTAATGCTACACTGATCATACTAAAATATACACAGAAAACAAACATGCTGTAATCAAGTTAAGTATTCCAAATATTTTAAACAGTTTATTATCATCTCTCTCCAAAAAAAAAATTCAGATGTTTTTATTTAATTGTAACATGGAAAAAAGAATGGATTATTTTTTTAAACACAACTATAGCTTACTTGATGAATAATTTTAAATGGGAATCATGCAAATATTTAAAAAAACAAATGGTAGCTGCAGTGAGGTTAAGTCAATTAGTAATAAAACAGATAGTGTTAGTTACCTCACAAGTTAAAGTATTTGTAACTGTCTTTAACTTGTGAGGTAATTAACACTATCTGTTTTATTACTAATTGCAAATATTTTATAAAAGTAAAGAGCAAGAACTACTGTTGTACTTTCAAAAAAGTAAAAAAAAAAAAATTTTGGGACACTGATGGTACTTATAAAACTTTGTCATACTATAAAATGTGTTATATTGTTTACAAATAGAACTTTTATCGTAAAATCTGAAAAATTACACATTTGTCTCACATTTTGTCCATTGGATTTAAGCTTTTAAAACTGATGTGTATAAAGTGTTCAGCAGCTTATAACAGTTTCAAACCGGATATTATGTAAATGTTGTAAAACTTTAAAAGTTTGAAAGCTAGCATTCAAGATAATGTATAAATTAAAAGGGAAGGGAGGTGGGCAGATGACATAATGCAACAAATACAAAGCCTCAAAGTTTATTCAAGAATATTTCCCTAACCCAAGATAAAATGTCCATAGAATTTTTACCAAAATGTGATGCCAGCCTGTCTGTCCCGTGTATGGACTGAGCATACTGACCATACATATGTAAGCTATCAAGTGGATTCATGCCTACATTTTTTCCCTGCTGAGTTTGCTCCTTATAAACATCATTGAAAGATGCTGAAAAATTAAACTAACTAAAGCTATCCACTAACACAAAACTGCTGTCATTATGAATTAACTCAAAAGAAGAAAAAAATGTATAGCCTGGTCTTATTAGTCTAAATCTGTTTGCTCTTTCCAGAATCACATAACTTGGGTGCACCTTTTCATTTCACATAAGGGTACAACACAAATGAATGTTAGTTTATTATGCACTAAATATATTGAGAACTATCATTCACACATTTATCATCAAATCAGACAAAGAATACCTATAATTTTGTCTATGTCAAAAAATGTTTGTCTAAGCCTTAAGTTTTTATACTAAATACTTATAAAAAAACAACATAAAAACCATGAATGATTGCAAATCACCTGTCAAATTCATCTGTTAGTAATTAGTTTTGTCTATTTATAACAGTCAAAGGGGTCGTGAGCTCATGCAATGTTATTTTACAAACCAGAACAAGTATTGTTGGAAGTACTCATTCTCATTTAGTAATTCAGTAGTAGGTATTTACCAAGATAGAAGCAATGATTAAACTAGTCATTAACATCAACGTAAAAGTACTTAGAGAAAGGAAATACAGAGAGAAATGCACTAACCTGGTACACCGTATACTTGAGTCTGATTACTTCCCCCAAACAAAGCCATAATGGAATCTTTAGTTGATGTTTTCTTTTCTTCTGCACCTTGCTCAAATAGATTTCCATCTAGAGACCCATTTGTCTGCTGGTAATTAAATTTTTTTTTTTTTATCACCTAGTTTGAATTTACCAAACAATTATGTAAAAATCAATAAATCAAATTAGCCCAGGATGATGTTACCAGGAAGCTTTTATTGGTAGCTAATAACCCTATGCGATCGCAGGCTAACTATTCAACTCAAGGAAATCAAGTGAACTTAAAACATACCACAGTCTCTTGTCCACCACCAAATAGATCCAACAGCTCATTACCACCTGAACTTTGAACTGGAGGGGCTGCTACTTCTGTTAAAGTGAAAATCTTTTTTTTAAAAATACTCAGACTTTAAAATAAAATGAATCTTTATCATTAGTACTAGGCATCTGTTTCAGAAAAGACAGTTTAACAACTCACTTCATTTTTAGATGATAAAATACCAAAAGTTCAAATACCAAAAGTTCAAAAATACCAAAGTTCAAATTAAAGCCCCAAAAACCAAAAGCAACAAGAAGCCACATAGGGAAGCAGCTGAATTCATAAACCACATAAATTAGACATGGTGTATAAACATAAAGTAAGAACTATACAATAATTATACATGGTGCATTATTTTATATAGACAACCTCATAGTGGAAAATGGCTTTTACAAATCACGTATATTTTAAAGCACAGTTTAGGATTAACCAGTCAAATCACTGCTTCATTGAGGGGTAAACTGAACCTTTAGCCCTTAATAAGATCTATCAGCTCTGTTAAAATTTGTGTTTAACAACTTGATAAACGAACTCCTAATGCTCCTATCTGAACCTTTCCTGTCTCCTTGATTGTTATATAAATATAAACAGAAATCCTTTTGAATTTTATAGTTTTTTCTTCTATTGCAGAAGTTAAGTCTTTTAAATGTGGATATTTTAACTTCTAAGTTTAATGCTGTGACAGATATTTGTACTATAAAAATGAATGTAGAAAATGAAATATAATTTAACAAAAAGGGACTGTGTGTTTAGTGGTACCATAGAGTTTATATAAAAAAAACTGCTGTAGAAAACTAACTAACCCCAGTCACACACATCACACATGCAAAATTATACTTAGAAAATAGAAAATTAAGAATTCCCACACACAAAAACCTGATTCAGAAATGGCCTCATACAATAATTAATCCCATGCATCAAATCAAGTTTAGGAAAAAATAATATGGAAATAATAGTGGAAATTAACAGAAGTTGTTCCAGTTAAATTAGCTGTCAAAGGGTTGCAACAAATAAAAGGTTTTAAGATAGTTAGAATAACTAGTAAAGACAAGCTTCAATCAGGCTATTCATCAGGATAGCTATATATGGAGCATTACAAATATTCAGAATTTGTTTAGCATTGGATCGCTACAAGATGTTAGGATAGATGATGTTCAGGCAACACTGACAAATTTCCCAGTTGTTTACTGTCAAGTAATTATCATGTTTTAAGCAAGATACTGTTAGTAAAACTAGGCTCTTAGTTGTTGAAACTATTGCTCTAAAATGCTGGTTTTTTAATCCATAAAGAGTTGATTTTCAAGAAAATAAATTTCCAGGCCTGAACCCAAGGTGGAAATAAAAAATAAATAAATGGTTGCAAATAAGAAGCTATAAAGCCTGAGAGAGCTTAGACAACTTACGATGAGTTATTCCTAAATCTAGACAAAAAAAATTCAGTTAAATTATATTTTAATGTTTGCCAAAATAAAAAGAGATAATATTGATGATTTTACTTGTTTCATAACTTGGGTAAAATGTTTAAGTATCCAAAACTCACCCAAGCCAATGAGATCATTAGAAGCAGAAATGATGACAGGCTGGGGTTCTGGATGAGATGGTTTTGCTGCTTCTACTGGCTGTATGTTGCTGGTCACTTTTGGGGCCTTTAAAATCATGCAGAGAAAAATAATCATGGCTAGGCAGAGATCACATGCAAGTATTTGATTAGTAATTTGAGATTAACTTTTAATAAATATTTTAAAGACAAGCAAAGTAAATTAAAAAAAAAAAGATTATGGAAAACAAAGTGGTGTATGAAAGTGTATTATAATTCTCATGGATTGAAACAAGTTTGATTTTTAAAGTATAAAAGACCCCCATGCTTATTACTTAACATACACATTAGATCTTTCAATAATTACGTTTGCTCCAGCTACCAATTTTTTGTTTAAAGAGAATAGAATTTATTGGGAAATTACTTAGAGGCCACTCTCCAGTTATGGGATCAGAGGGAAGCACGAACAAAAATAGTAACAACAAATTTGACAGAAACAAAAGTTTAAAACAAAGCAACCTAATTCGGTAAGTGACTTTGGTTCTATAAGCCCCAACATAAACCATAAAACATGTGTCCACTGACAATTAATTTGGTCATATAAGCTCCAACATTTTATCATCATCATTTCATCTTTTTGTTTTAACTGGTACTCACATTCAAGGGTAATGGTGATGCACTTGGTTTGTTGACTTTCTTTTTTTTTTCTGTCTTTGTATCATCTAGAAACTGTACATAGATATAAATAAACAACAGATCACATGAGCAATCTTAAAAATAAATAGAGCTTTTCAGATTGATAGTAGCCTCAAATATTTTTTAACCTGCAAATATATCACTATTGTATAAAATGATATAGTAACTGATTTAAGCCTTATAAGATTAGTAAAAGTTAACACTTACTTCTTTTGGAACTTTTGGTTGTGGTGCAACCCACTCTTGAGCAATATATTTTTTTTGTTCATACTTAGATCGTATAAATGCTTCCAAAGCTCTATAAAGATAAAGAAAAGTTCATTTATTTATTTTTAAAAAACATTTTTTTTCTCTTTTTTTCATGCAACTTTTTTTAAAAATGTCGTTTTTGCTATTAACTTTATCCTTAGTAAAATGCTTTATAGCCAGCTTTAATTAAAAATTGACAACATAGGCATATGTCTATTTGTAGATAGTAAATATACATTTCTTAATGTTAAGCTTGCCATTTTCAGGATTCTTAACAGCTATGTAACATACCATATTTTATTATGTATAAAATATTACTTCTATTCTTAAAATATGTCCAGTTTAAAGAAGTTCCTTAATATAAAAATTAGAGTATCAACATGAAACTAAACTTACGAATCTGTTTGTGGTCTACGAAATCCATCGGGTATATTGGCTTCATAGACTGCACGGGCTCTACTGTTTCCCATCTCCTGCATCATCTGAAGATTTTATTAATTATTTATTATACATTTATGAGCTAAGACTTTAAGAAAAATATCTAATAACATTCATTTACAAGTAGGCTATTTCTTGTGTAATGATATGGTTATGGGGAATTTTCCTCAACATTTAAAAAGTACTGTACAAAACAATGTCACTCTATAGATACTTACTGAGATTTGTTCCGCTGTCCATGTATCTAAGTTAACCGACTTGACCTTTGAAATATGTACACCTAAGTTTCTGTGAATTCCTGCACATCGAATGCATAAGAAGATGCCCAAATTCCAGGATGCCCATCGTGGACCTACATGGAGTTTAAAAAAAATCTAATTACATTTTTTTAAATGCTTTTTTTTTCCAGCAAATAATATTCTATAAAACTAATGCACATGGTTAAAAGGTGTTAGACTAAGTTTTAGCTGTGATTTAGCTTGTAATATCAGCAAACACTAGACTTACCATGTAAAGAAAACTATTACATTTAATTAAATAGGACAGCTAGTCTGGACATTAAGCGTTAGTTATGTTTTACTGGCTTTTCTAATGAATATCTAATTGTTATTATATTGCTATAGTGGCCCAGGCCGAAAAATTATTACAGTTAGGCTAAAGTATTCATGAAAATAAATAAACTATTAAAAATAATCGACCTACTTTGTATATTAGTGATAGACACAAAAGTAGTTTAAAGTAGGTCTACTTTTATGAGGTTAATTGTTAATCTTAAGTAAGAATTTAATGCTCGTAATTATCCTTTGGGATGATTGAGAATACCAATGTCCAATAATTAACTCTTCTGAAAATGGGTGTGTTAGGTTGTTAGTAGTAGTAGTATTGTGTTCTCATTATGGTTAGAAATTAGGGCAATTGAGTTAGCATTGACATTTTCATATGTGTATTTACTTAATTACCAGTAGTATGAATGAGTAACTTAACACCCTTTTTACTTTTAAAGAAGATTGTTATTGTCCCATTATCGGACAATCCACACTCCTTTTTTAATGTTACTTGAGTTTCTTTTTGTAAGCAACCTCTCAAAACTATGATTAGTTATACTTAATACCAGTACTAGATCTAGTAGTAGTAAGAACTTTACTAATTAAGTAGAAATCTATTAATTAGTAGCTCTTTACTAATTAAGTAGAAATCTATTAATTAGTAGCTAAGTGTCACCAAGTGTCATCACTGACACTCCTACTTTAAATACTGGAACTTGAATCTAGAATCTAGGCTAGGCTATTTAATTATCTAAATATTAATATAGTGCGCTTATAAATTACAATGTAATATAGGGCCTGAGTGCCTATTTGATTAAATAATTGAATTGGTGTGCGGTTCTAAGAAACTAAAAGAAAAAAAAGTAAACTAAAGAAAGACTCCAAGAGTGAAAAAGAGAAACTTTCACTTTGACAACTTCGGGCCATTTTTTTACCTTTGGCATCACAGTCCACGCAATATTTATTATCTTCATCTTTTAAAAGCGCCGATAATATAGCCTGAAACTTTTCCTGCTGTTCCTTGGCCCTCTCCTTTTCTTTAAAACTGGACATTTGGAATGAAAATAAATGATGTTTTATTAATATTTCTAGACTGAATAGGAAATGAATACTGAAAAGGGAGTAGGCAATAAGGGGCTGTAACCGAATCTATTTCCTGTAATCTAGTCACGGGCTATGTTACGTGGGCAAAATCGCTAATTGTTTTACTGAATTTGGGTCACCATGCATCTATAATTTTAGTTACTGGATGAACTTAATTTTTAAAATTATTTTCTGAATACGACTATTTCACGAACAAAATATTTATGATGTTTCATGCAGTTAAGAGAATATGCTAGATCAGTTTTAGTACTGGACTACGGCCTAGTATTATTTTGCTAAATTATCAAATTTTGATGGGTAACTGTTTCCCGATGTTAAAAAACCCACTGGTAATAATTTATGCGTTAGATTTATGAGTTATTAGATCCTATACGATTTTCATCAAATTAAGCGATTTTTTTAAATTTCTAAAATATGTGTGAATTTAGGTCGTCAGACTTAAAACTTTTTTCCCTTGTCCTGTTTTTCAAAATTTTGTTCTGGCAACTAGATAAAGTAAAGAATTTTTTTAGCATAAAGTGATTAACATAGAATATAAACTTCGGGAAGGTAGAGAAAAAAATATAACAATATAATTTACGAATTTGAAGGAAAAAAACAACAACACTGCAGCAAAATACTCAGAATCTATTTTTTTAAAATATTATCAGACTAGTTCTAAAAATAGATCACTTGTATCGAAGGTAACGGTTTTTTAAATAAATGAATCGATTAATGTGACGTCAGTCCAATTCTACAAGAGTAGGTCATTATATTAGTTATCAAACAGTCTATAATTGTGCCTACAACAGCTGTTGACTCAGTTAGAGTTACACCACAAATACTCTTCAATCTACTATTACCCCTCACTTAATTGCATTTTAAAAAACACAGTTAAAAACATTTAGAGTAGCCAACATTATATCACATAAATAGGCATATCTACTATTATTTAGGGCCGATATCCGATATAATTATAACCTATGGATCGTCGACATCATTACTAATATTTGGGACGGGTGGCTTGCACTTACATAAAACGTGAAGGTTAAAGAATATAGGCCTATAAGCATTCTTTTTTTTTCGAATTAGACCTCATTGACACAAAAATAAAATACTTGAAAATAACCTATGTAGCTGTGGTTTCTATCATTTAGCCCAAAAACTCATCGTACTATATATAATTAGCTTCTAGCTCGTTGAAATATAGGCCTGCACATAAAAGTAGACCGATATTTGACAGTCTTACTCTTAATTGGATTCGGGCGTACGATTTTAGTTTATAACTTTGATGAAAGCTTGAGTTTTTTTTTTTTTTTTTAAAGTTAGGGTGAAAATTGACCGGGTGTTCTATTTAAACAATTTTTTACTTTAGCAGGAGCAGTTTCTTCCAGGCATCTCTTCGGGCGCGAGAGGAGGGGGGGGGGGCTCCGTCCGTCGTCCCCCCCCCCCCCCAAACGAAATGGAATTTCTTTAGAAAATATATACTTTTAACAGTGTCCGCCCCCCCCCCCCCCCCAGAGAAAAAAGTCTGGAAGAAACACTGAACAGGAGTCAGTAAGGTGCCCTTATATAACCCATTTACTCTATCGACTCTAATGTTTGTCTTGCTCTCAGTCACGGATGGTTAAAATTGAAGAAAAATAGACTGTAAATCCTTTTTTAGCTATGCGATCAGTGTCTTTCTTGGCCTTTGTAGAGGACATCTATGAAGAATATAGTCGATAGCGCCAACACATATGCTGCATAAATTAGTGGCTACGCCCGTCGTTTCTCCATCCCCTCTAATGATTAGTTGACTCTAATGCTAAGCCGCCGGTTTATATACCCCACTCTCGAGCGTCTCAGATGACACCTTGCTCTCGGCGCGAATTCTAGCGCTTACCTGTGAAAATTTCCCCTGGTTTTGTTCTAACCTTCCCCAAATAACTATATACAAAAACTTACAGCGATCTCCTAAAATTCTAATAAACTTATCAAAGAAACTACAGGCAATCCCTTTACAATGATATAAATTATATAAACCATAAATAAACAATAATACCTACAACATGCAACATTTTTTTTTTAAAATGCAACATAATGTTCAAATAAAACAAACAGAAACCGATTCCATCAGAGGCGTAGCGACCCTTCCCGGCGCCCGGGGACAAACTTTCAATTTGGCGTCCCCCTCGGGAGCTAATTTCCAATTTGAACCCCCCTCAAACTTTCGATTTGCACCACCCCCTCAAACTATAATGCAAAAATGCAGCTAAAATGACATTTTAAGTTGTTTTTACAACCCATTTTGGCGCCCCTAAGGTCGGCGCCCGGGAACATATGTACCCCCCTGCCCCCCCCCCCCCCATCGTTACGCCTCTGGATTCCATTGTACTATCAATTAACATGAAGTTATTATAAGTCTTGTTACACATTTGTAATGTCGTTCCTTCTAGTTATATGAAAGAAACACAGAACCTAATGCGCTACTGTTAAGTAACCCCCCCCCCCCCCCCCCCCCCGAAGAGATGCCTGGAAGCAACTCTGCAAGCACTGGTTAGAGAGGAACAGAGGCGTAGCGATGGGGGGCAGGGGGGGGGACATATGTCCCCGGGCGCCGACCCTAGGGGGCGCCAAAAATGGGTTGTAAAAACAAATTAAAATGTCATTTTAGCTGCATTTTTTTCCAGTTTGGGGGGGGGGGGGGGGAGAGGGTGGGTGCAAATCGAAAGTTTGAGGGGGGGGGGGTGCAAATTAAAAGTTTGTCGCCGGGCGCCGGGAAGAGTCGCTACGCCTCTGGAGAGGAAAGGGGGTAAGTTTGGTTAAAGAGCCGGTAATTTTCTGCTAGAAATGTAGATAGCTGCAGATATGGCCTAATACAGATAATTAACGCTGTCATGCGGGAAGAGGACCAGTAATTTTAAAGTTTTGTGACGAATAGTCAAGATAAGGGTTTCTTTCTGGGCATTCTAGAAAAGGATGTAAAAAAATGAATGAAAACCACAAATAACTACTCAACGACAAAGAGCACCACCCACACACGCCTGACAAAATAAGAAAAATTATTTAAACTACAAAGTTCATGCCTTTCTCTCAATATTTAAAAAAAAAAGGCTCCACTTGCCTCCTAAGACAATGGATTGCGCCCAGAAATTAAGATGATGTGATTTTCTTTTGGCGCAGGCTCTGTTGTGGCCATGAGCGGCAATCTCAGCCACTATCAGTGATGTAGGCAGGGGGGGGGGGGTTAGGGGGGGGGGGGTCATAATCCCCCATAGACCCCTCGGTGTATATATATATATATATATATATATATAAAGTTTGAGGGGGGGGGGGGTGTAAATCGAAAGTTTAAGGGGGGGGGGGTGCAAAACGAAAATTTGATGGGGGTGGTGCATATCGAAAGTTTGAGAGGGGGGGGTGCAAATCGACAGTTTGTCCCCGGGTTATATACTGCTGGAGAAAATTTGAACCCCCCCCCCCCCCCCCCACATGAGACGATCCTGGCTACGCTACTGGCCACTATTATTGCAGATCATTGTTGTTTGGTGCAATTAGGGCATATTTTTTCCTCTTAGAGGCTAACCCAGCCTTTCTTTTCCTTCATCGATAAGGGTGCCAGTCCGCTCAGTCTGTCTTCACAGTGTTCTATCTTGTCTCATGTTTCGTTTGCAGACACTTGGGGCCATCCATTGGGTCTTGAACCGTTGGTAGACCTCTTTAGAGTATAGAGGATGTCTTTTGGTATTCTGTCGTCAGGCATGACCCAGCCATTGCAATCTTCTCAGGGTTAACATTCACTGAGCACTCTACGGGGGACGTAGGCCTACTTGAACGTCAAATGAAGTGATCGTGGGTCAGTGGCGTTATAAATGTATATATCAGAGGCGTAGCGTCCCTCCCCGGCCCCCAAGGACTAACTTTTGATTTGCACCCCCCCCCCCTCAAACTTTTGATTTTGCACCACCCCCCGCTCAACCTTTATGTAACTACCGAGGGGTCTATGGGGGGGGGGTGTGGTTCTGACCCCCCCCCCCCTACTCCACTGTCGTGGGTTGCCCGTGCGTCATTAACCCTCTCTCTACCTTGCCGGTATTGTCCAAAGGAATGCTGAAATACTATACGTATTACTGAACCCTTATCTCTATCTCACCTCAGATGTGTGTTCTAGTTCTAGCCATACTCAATCTTAACTCACATTTCAGTACTTACAGTCTACTGTAAAAAAATAATTTTGAAACACAACTAAACAAATGTTGACATTATTTGGAAAGTAGTGTTTCCATTTATTCATTATACATACAACTGGGTCTTAAATTTTTGGTACAAATAAATGCAAGCAAACATTTCTTTAATACATACAGTAATACAACTTTTTAAATAATAAAATTCAATAAATAATAGTAATTATATAGAATAACAGCAATGATAAATTATCTTGTTCACTCAGCCTTTATGACACAATAAATTTAAACTTTTAGAAAAGAAGAGCCAAGATAGTTTTTTTTTCCTCAAAATACTTTGTATACATTTAGTACAGAAAATATTCTGGTTGTCACAAAGCCAAGATGTCAAATAAAGCATTGGGCACAGCCTGAGACAATTTATAGACACGGAACAAAAATATAAGCATCTCTACCAAGCATGGAAAAAACAAAGTTCCAAGCCTCTAATGGAAAGAAAGAAAAACAAGCCTCAAATTATTTTTAACACATGAAACCGATATTTTATAATAGAAAAATGCTCAGGTGGACACTACAACACCACTGGAAGATTGGAAAAAAAAAAGTCAAATACTTGTGTTGAGTGCAAGTAATATAAAAGTGCACTACATGAGCACAATATTTGTATTTATACATTAAAAGTGAGTACATTTTCCCCTCAAGTTTATAAAGTTGGTAAAAATGTCTTACGTCAGCTGCAGGTGTCGTCATTTTATTAGCTGGAGAAATGTCATAGTTGGAAACAAAAAATACAGATAAATCATTCCCATAAATAATGGACATGTGGAATACATAGTTGCTGACTGAACTACAGCAGTAGATCTTAGATTGCTGGAACTTTGAGTCCCTACCCGTAACTTCTAGTATTAATAACTATGTATAAGTTATTCAAAATGACACAATGTAAATGTAATTAAAAATATGAATTATTGTTAATGACAAGAAGTGTAAATGAAACAAAGAATTAATAGATGATGGAAATGGAATAAACAAATTGAGGTAGCGTTAACATTGAATGTTGCATGAAGAATTATTTGCATAAATTTAATACACAATGTCAGCACGCTAAAATTTTTTGGATGAGCAAATTTTTTGTCCCCGAAGAGCAAAAATGCACTAAACACCAGCTTAACTGTTTTTCAAATAAATGGCTTTCATAATCACATAAGTTACTTTGTATTTACTTGTTTCACATTTATTGATGTGTAGTATTCTAGACATGTAATCAAATTTTTATAAATAAAGATCCCAGCAAATAAGTCTGAGATCTACGTCAGAGTGAACCATAAAAACACATTTTTTAAATTCTTATTTTTTAAGAAACAAAAAATTTTTTTTTTATTATTCTAACAAACATCAAATTTGTGAAACAATTCATGTGTTTGTTAAGGTTTTCATAATATTTAATAATACCATTTCACAAATATGGTTAGCTTAGAATACTTAGATGTCAATAGTGTATAATGACAAATATAGATCATTTTAAACTGCCACATCATTTAGGTATTACTGGTGCTTAGTACTTTACTGCTCTTAAGGGACTGAATGTAAACAAGTGCTCTTGATTGGTCATTGTCAGTCTCCCTGTTGGCCAAGTGTATAGTCTGTAAAGCCTTTGTGATGGTCAGATAAATACAATGGTCTAATAAGCCTGAATAATGGTCAGGTAAATACATTGGCCTGTAAAGGCTATCTGACTGTCATGGTCAGTCAAATACAATACAATGATTTGATAAGCGCTTGCAATGATCAGTCATATAAAATACAATGGTTTGATAAGCATTTGATGGTCAGTCAAATACGTTTTTTCTAGAATTACAATTGGTAGGGCCTGAGATATTCATATTACGACATCTAGTAACATATTGTTTGAATCTTTCACAAGGGAAGTAAAGGAAAGGGTATAGAAAAAGAAAAAGACAATAAAGGGACAGCACCAAAGAAGTGATGAACTCTGGTTGAATAAAATTTCTTTACATATATAAAATGTCCCTGAAGGAGCAAAAAAAAATTTTGTCCCTTGGTCTTGAAATAAATCTTTATCATCTGGATGTAGATAAAATACTTGTATAGTCTTTAACAGAAATAAAGGGACAGGATGAACGCCATGGTAACAAAACATGTCCCTGACAGAGTTTGCGTTCTTTCTGTGTGTATATCAACAGATCCCCAGAGATTTTTATAATCCATTTATAATCCAAATCTTTCATGAATTAAGAACATCAATTTTCTTTTTCCTTTATACACTAATTTCATGTTTTCGATAAATTGCGTAAACTTCAGATGGCCATCGTGGGCAAGCAAAAACGTATCTCTTGCTTTACTGAGGAAGTCTATGAAATCGGCATAGTGACGAGGGCTTATGTGCGACAGCTTGGAGTGACTGCTGTGAATGTAAGCAAGGATAGTTTGGTCCATCAACTGCTTAAGTGGCGCCTTGTCGTAGCTCAGTGATTTTAAAGTCCTGCGTTTACCATCTAGGCAGCCCATGCCAGGTGATGCAATCGTGCAACTGCGCAAGATGTCGGCCAGCACCGAGGCACACTCGACATTTTTCACAACAATCGGCACCATGCTGGCCAGTTCTGCTCGCCCCAACGAATGCGCCAGCGCACAAGCCCAGTGAATGTCCGCCACAGCTGGGTGGGAGTCGTGGTTGTATGGCACGTGTAAACCTTTCATGGCAAGCAGGGCTAGGCGGAATGCTTGAGATGGGTGTCCCCTGTGCTCCATGTATCTGGCGATGGCAAACAGCTGTCGAGAGTTAATGATGTGTGAGGCGGCTCCAACGACTATTTGATAAGCTGCTTCAAAAGCTCGACTGTCTTTTTCACACAGGTTGAGTGCGCACAGAGCACAGTTTTGTGGATCTCTTTTAGCACACTGTAAAGCTAAGGTTCTGGTACACTGGGCAAGCTCTTCTTGCTGGGAATATGTGGCGTTCAGCTGCATCATGGTGGCAGGGGACATCACCGTCATGGCAACAGTACCTACAAAAAATATTTGTAATCAACATCAAAGACAACATATAATGTTCAGATGTAAATTTTATTTCTTTTTTAATGAAGCCTTATTCTAAAACTAAAAAACTTGTAATGATACATTTATAAAGTGAAAAAAAAAACAGCACAGTATTTCATACATTTTGTATTCAGAATAATAAAAACCCAACTAAACTAAGCAAAAAACAAAGAAGAAAACCCATAAGCTTTGGGCTGGGCGAGTCACAAAAACCTGACATGGATGGGCTAACAAAACTGAATCTGTAAACTAAACAGTGGTTACAGTTAGAAGGGTATTTGCTTTACCACAGGTTGATTCAACTCACTTGAAGCTTCCACAGGTGCAAAGTATAGGTACCAGGACTGCATTATGGACAGTAGAGCATCAACACCCACTTCTGTTGCACAGGTAACAATCCACCTGACCATCTCACGCCTTCTCCAATTCAGTGTCATTAGAGTCATTCTCATCACCTACAAACAATGCAGTGACACTAAAAAAAATTTCATGCCAAATAAATACTTTCATTGCATTTTAATGGAATGAAAAACAAAAAAAATATTTTTTTGAAGTACCATTTACTTTGGAAAATACAAGTGCACTTTTGTGGTTACTTGAAGGTACAGGGTTACTGCAAAGCTGGGCACATTAAACTAGCAGAAATAATTGAATATTAGTTTGAACTGTAATGATATATTCTACATTTAAATAAAATTATAAGGTGTTATATCCGTATCATAAAAAGCCCATCGCTAATGAGAGTATTCTTAAGTTGGTTACCTGCAACCCAAGTTCAAAAGCAGCTTTCAATGCTGGAATGTATTTTGGGCCATCTGAAGGAGTTGCAATCTTAAAAGTATCCTGAGCCAGTCGGAAGAGTTGAGATGAACTATGAATGTGTCTCTGAGCGCAATCAAGAACAGACTGGAGGCGGTGGACATCATCTGAAAAAAATTAGGCAGTGTTAAGATATATAAACTAAGGAATGGGAAACTAAGTGCTGGGTTTAAAATTGTTTAGAATGGAAGTCCTATATTCCATAGTAATGGACAAGTGACATGAAAGTAGGTATTATAAAGTATTTTTGAGAGTAGTGTCTAGTATGAGTTAATGTCATTTGTGGTTGTCTGTGAGACAAAATGTGTGGTGCCCAAAGCTTATTTTTAAATATGTTTGGAAGATTTTAGACTCCTTCGACCGTGCACATATCAACTACTAGATCCTCAGTGAGGCGACAATAGTGTTCCACAACACTGTATTAACCTCACACCTCTCACAATGTACACGAATAATGGAACACACATATGGCTTTGTTGTCTACTAGACCATTGGATGACTGTGCATTGAAAATCCAAGCACAAAGCCTGGGCCATGTTGAGAAGAGCCAGATGTTGCCCATGTATCATCCCCCCCCCCCCCCCCCCCCCCTCTACACACAGCTGATCAAACCGAGGGAAAGGAAATGGAACACATCAATAACCATGACACATATTTGACATATTTTGTACAGCTATTATAATATACAAATAATAGTTATAAACAAATTATATTTCTACAGATAAGTCTTTGATTCTAACATAAAAAATAAACAGTAACAAACTTTTAGCAGCCTCCAGCAAAGTTGTAGCAAGCAGACACTGCTGTGATTCAACATGAGACAAAATAAACCATCTTGGGAATCTAGTCAACATGTTAGCATTGTTGACACTGTCGTCAAAATCTTCTCGGTTTTCTAAGATTGGTAACCTACAATAAAGAAGCATGTTATTTACATTATCAACATTATTGAATTGAAGGTGCAATTAGTAGATGAATATGGATGAGGGTTCTATTTCTTATTACTTCTATTTTAAAGTTTGAAGTAAAATTACCTATATTAGTTGACATTTGAGTTGCAAGTAATTTAAAATAATCATCTTTTAGTTGTAGTTTTTGCAATGCATGGGTTACATATAAAAAGTGTCGAAAAGGAAATACTAACCTCATTGCTCGCAGTCCAACCCTATAGGCCAAATCCTCATCCCTGCCGATCAACTTGAGAAAGAGAAAGTGGGCAAAAATGTGCATGGGAAAAGTCTCGGGGTGGATGTTTATACCAAGTCCACTCCATGACCCACCTGCAAATAGACATGTACTAATCAACAGCTGCGAGGCCAAGGGAGCTACATTTATGGCTGCCAATGTTGTCCCAATGCTTGCATAATGCACTCATCAAGATAAATGTACAGAACCAGCAAATTCAATGAAAGTGCTTTAACAATGTATGGATTTATTTACAACCTAGATGAGACTAGTTCTCACATACAACCTTACTGTTTGAGAACCTAGATGAGGGTGACTATCCATCTCACTAACAGCTACAAATACCCTACACAAAAAAATCCCCAACTTTCAAACTACATCACAGACTAACACACTTTATTTATTATGTTAACAAATTCTTTCACAACACAAACACTTTAAACACACTACACCCACTTCCAAATGTTCATATTAAACCATCACCAATCACACAGCATTATTAGATTTTGTTTATACACAGCTGTTTAAAAAAAAAAAAAAAAAAAGAAATGCTAAAAAATTTTACAAGCTATCGACCAACCTTCCAACAGTAAATTTGTGGTTCTCTGAAGCACTTGAAATAACGTAGAATCTAGTTCAATGGTGTTAAGTTTTGCCAGGAGTCTCTCTTCTTGTTTACAGGCCTTCTCTTGTGAATGAAGACCAGATGGCATGATGCGCTGCTGGCCTATTCCTGTGGACAAAAAACATGTTCAATTTTAACTTTCATCAGCAACAAGAAGTTTTAAGATAATTAAAGTTAATATCTCATAAAGTAGCAGCAATGGTAAAATGAGATATAAGGCTAAGATATGTATGTGAAAGATGTTTAGACCTATTAAAGCAACTTCATAGGCCAGGGTGAGGTATGTCTGGTTATGTTCCGCTGCACCAGGAATGTTCACATGCTGGAACCGTCTGCGACTTTCATTTGTTGTCTCACTGTTTAAATGGCGACTGAAAAACTCTGAAGAAAAATTTTAAAAACTGTTATGTCTACACTAAAAAAAAAATAACAGACAACTGCATTTATTGCAACTGGATAAATTAAAGACAGTTGAGAACAATTTTCTAATTTTATTTAATCTTATTCAATTAGTTAATGCTGATATAAAAACATGTCAATCAAATTATGTGTGCTCAACTGATGTGGTACTTTGTGTAAGCGTCCCCCCTCTCTGCATAATAGAGGCAAATGAGACTATTCGATGTACAGTATGCAAAACTAATAAGAAGAAACTTTTAAAGAATTACACCTTTCTATACCTTCTATGAATAAAAGCAAGATAAAAAAGTTTTTTAAGTTTGCAAATTCCAAATGTTGTGGTAGACTCACCCTGAGATAAATCATCTGCAACCAGGCAGGCCTCACACAAGGTGTCAAACAACACTCCCATAGGATCTAAAGGATGCCCGATCCAGCCGACTGCATTGTAAGGTGGGTGGCGTCTGCCACATGGGTGTGAACAGCAGGGACACAAGGCTCCGGTCACTTCTGCATAATGAAATATCTTCTCGTAAGGAACATGAGACTTATGTTGTAAGGAACATGAGACTTATATTGTAAGGAACATGAGACTTTTATATTGTAAGGAACATGAGACTTTTATATTGTAAGGAACATGAGACATATTGTAAGGAACATTAGACTTATATTGTAAGGAACATGACTTATATTGTAAGGAACATCAGACTTTTATATTGTAAGGAACATCAGACTTTTATATTGTAAGGAACATAAGACTTTTATATTGTAAGGAACATGAGACTTTTATATTGTAAGGAACATGAGACTTTTATATTGTAAGGAACATGAGACATATTGTAAGGAACATTAGACTTATATTGTAAGGAACATGACTTATATTGTAAGGAACATCAGACTTTTATATTGTAAGGAACATCAGACTTTTATATTGTAAGGAACATAAGACTTTTATATTGTAAGGAACATGAGACTTTTATATTGTAAGGAACATGAGACTTTTATATTGTAAGGAACATGAGACTTTTATATTGTAAGGAACATGAGACTTTTATATTGTAAGGAACATGAGACTTTTATATTGTAAGGAACATGAGACTTTTATATTGTAAGGAACATGAGACATATTGTAAGGAACATGAGACATATTGTAAGGAACATGACTTATATTGTAAGGAACATGAGACTTTTATATTGTAAGGAACATGAGACTTTTATATTGTAAGGAACATGAGACTTTTATATTGTAAGGAACATGAGACTTTTATATTGTAAGGAACATGAGACTTTTATATTGTAAGGAACATGAGACTTTTATATTGTAAGGAACATGAGACATATTGTAAGGAACATTAGACTTATATTGTAAGGAACATGACTTATATTGTAAGGAACATCAGACTTTTATATTGTAAGGAACATGAGACTTTTATATTGTAAGGAACATGAGACTTTTATATTGTAAGGAACATGAGACTTTTATATTGTAAGGAACATGAGACTTTTATATTGTAAGGAACATGAGACTTTTATATTGTAAGGAACATTAGACTTATATTGTAAGGAACATGACTTATATTGTAAGGAACATCAGACTTCTATATTGTAAGGAACATGAGACTTTTATATTGTAAGGAACATAAGACTTTTATATTGTAAGGAACATGAGACTTTTATATTGTAAGGAACATGAGACTTTTATATTGTAAGGAACATAACTTATATTGTAAGGAACATCACTTTTATATTGTAAGGAACATCAGACTTTTATATTGTAAGGAACATGAGACTTTTATAGTGTAAGGAACATGAGACTTTTATATTGTAAGGAACATGAGACTTTTATATTGTAAGGAACATGAGACTTTTATATTGTAAGTAAAATGAGACTGTTATATTGTAAAGAACATGAGACTTTTATATTGTAAGGAACATGAGACTTTTATAAATGGGAGATGAAAGTAGGACATTAAAATAATGGAAAGATAATGGAAACACTGATTGTCTGCAGTCTCTGGGTAGGAAAAGGGCGGGGATATGAGGGGGTGAAGAAAGTACTTATATAAATGTCAGTACACACTAGCATCTGACAAAATGTCAATGCAGAGATTCTTTGTGACTTTAACAGGACATATGTGCTCAAATCGACGCCAATAGCAAGCTTATTTAGTTTACTTTGTATAATTACTGAAAATTAAGTGTTAAAGTATGATTTATAAAAATAAAAATATAATGAACTTACTTGAAGTACTATCATGAACCCAAGATTCTCTATTGGCAACAACATCTGCTTTCATAGTTCTAACTATAGCAACAGCCAATCTTAAAGCCTCTTTTGTGTAGCCATGAGAGCGAAGTGCATCAACTCTTGCACATGCAGTAGGTATGTATTCTGAAGGATCAAATCACATTTTAAGTAGACAATATAAAAATATATAAAATAAAACTTCTAGGGTACTTGTGAAAAACAGTGCTCAGGGTTCGTACTGCTTTTTGAAAATGAAATTCCAGACTTTTTCCAGACATTTTCCAGACTTTTTTGGAAAAATTCCAGACTTTAGACAGATAATGTGTTAGCGAATAATTTTTTAAAATGATGCACTATTTGTACTGTCATTATAATTACTTATACTAAATTGATATTTATTTTAGGCAATTGAGCTATATTCATAGTGAACTTTCTCTAGCCACATTGACAAAAAAACATTTTTTCTAAGTTTGCCTACACCACCCTACCTAAAATTTTAACAATTAAAATAATTGATTAAAATGATGCAACTATTTTGTTTCCAACATTAGACTTATGTAATCTGTTCCTGATCTAATTGCTTATGTTTTCAATTAAACTATCATTAAAATGGTATTGCATAATAGTGAGAGTTAATTACTATAATAATGTATTAATTTAGGTCTGCTCTTGTTAAGTAGCCTAAATAAATATAGGCTACTTGTAAAAAAAATGTGGAGCAAAAAAAAAAAATCATTCACTGTTTGTGCTTATAGTAATAGCTGAGAAACGGGTCTGCAATAAAAAAAAAGTTGCCGGTATCCTTCTTCCCCCCCCCCCCAGGTATCCTTCTCCCCCCTTCCCCCCACAGACACGACACGGCGAAGGGGTCACTGTGAGGTCATAGTAGTCTACACTACAGTATGCCTGTTTAATACGTCATAACATGAACTGTGCTGTGACTTATACTCCCTCCCCCACCCAACGTACCAAGCATTACCAATTACGCACTTGGGGTCACGGTGAGTTCACACAAGGGACCGATGTTACAAGGAGGGGCAGGGTAGTCTAACTTTAATCGTCAGCGTTTGCAAAGATTTCAAAAACAGTTTAATGGAAAGTGAATTAAAATTAAAGGGGTCATCCATTTATGACGTGCACATGGAGGGGGGAAGGGGTCGGAAGATTTTGTGATCATATTCTAAAACAAACATAAAACTTGCATCTTGCGAGTAGAAAGTAAAATTAAGACGACTGTGCTGGTGTTTTAAAAACCATCACAGCGTGTAAGTAAAACACGGTAGGCCTATTTATATCTGCCCTAACATTATTGCGAGAGCGTGTCGTCACACTTTATAAAACCCTCCTCCCGACTTTACGGAGAGTGACGTCATTTATGGACGACTCTTAAATAAAAATAGTACCTCTTTGTTAAGCTGAAGCAAACAGAAATACAGGTATGAACTCAAGGAGGCCTTGCGACTTATTAATCTTATAAATGTTAATATTAATCCATAGTAAGTGAGCGCGTGTGGACAGAGAGCGGGGGAGTGGGGAAGGGGGGGGGGGGTCTAAAATCCGAAAAAAATGTTGTAAGTCATAAATGAATGACGCCTGACAGACTGATAAATTAGATCTAAACTACCACTCACACATCTCCCCCATAACTTTTTGTTATGACTGCCTGCATGCAAACTCAAACGATGAAAAAATAGCGGGTAAAATCGAGAGCCTAACAATTCTGAGGGCGATCATTCTTTTATTAAACGACAACTGTAAGTACTTGTAACACATTCACATGGTCAGTCGTGCCACAAAATAGCTCTTCCCTCCCTTCCCCTCTTTTCCCAATGACGTAGTAACTGAGCATTTTTTCTGTGAACCAGCGAAAAAACGTCACACACAGTGTAAACCCGCGCGATAGCGCGGGGAAAAAAATTGGAGTAAATTTACTTAAAAATAGCAATTTTTTAAGTTGGAAAATATGGACTACGAAGTTTTGTTTCTAAAACTAGATTCCAGACATTTTCCAGACTTTTAAAAAATCCTGCCCAAAAACTAGCGATTTTCCAGACTTTTTAAAGTCTTAAATTCACTTTTTGAAATTCAAGACTTTTTCCAGACTTTCCAGACTGCGTACGAACCCTGAGTGCTGAAATTTCAAACTAGCCCATACTGTTTAAATTAATTGAGCAATTATTGTTTGGAATGAAATATTAGATTATATTTAAATTATCAATTTATGATCAATTTTTAGTACAAAAAAAAAAAAATCAAAACATAATACTATTAATAACAGTTAATACCTATGCCTTATACACAGATTTTCAACAGACTGGGTATTTTAACATTTCTATTACTACAGTACAGGGTAGACCAGAGTACCCAGAGCTATATTAAGAAAATAAGCCAATCATACTTCTTTTATTTAGCTTAGACTTGAGTTAAATATAATAGTTTAAAAAATAATAATTTTCACCCAATGTTACCTTTCCAGAGTGGGAGTCCTTGGCTATCAAAACTTTCATTCAATGTTGGACTAGCACTCCAATACATGTCAGATGCAATCAGTTTTTGAAGGTGCGGATCATTCCATCTCAACTCACTGGCTTCTAGTGCATTATGGAGAACTGTCCTTTGGTTACTCTCACTGGATGTGCTGGAAGAACCTGCAATGTTTGAAGTAATTGATGCTGGTGAAGTGCAATGGTAAAAGATATTAGTGTAAATTAAATCAAGATTTATGTATTAGGCCTAATTATTATAAAATGACATGGGTAAGCTCTTGAATTCCATTTTTTTCATAATATTTATACAATTACATATTAGTTGAATAATTTAGACAGTTCTTGAGAATTTTATTGAAAATTTAAAATATTCATGCTATATTTTTAAGAACAAAACTGTGTGGGAAAAAAAAAATCAATTGCACCTCTAAAACGCCCTCTACTGTTGAAATCAGAACCAAGTTCACCATCTTCTAAAGGACAAGCTGGACACTGGACCCACTGTTTCAGTAAAGATTGCCACTGGGATCTCTCATTGTTTGTGCTTTGAGGATTTAGAACAACAGACACCCACAAGGCTCCTGAAAAATCAGATTGTAGTGTTATTGATTTCATAACATGCATCAAATAAACAAGTCACAAAGATTGACTATGGGAGGTACACACATACACAAAATGTAGTGACTGACGAGACATTTTACAAACACAAGCTTAACATTACATGTTGTGTTAAAACTCCAAAGGAAGACATCCTCACACACACACAGCACAAGCAAATAATAAATGTACACCAACTATAAATTTCAAGAATTACAAGTGAAAGCTTATTGTTAAATTTTATGTTACTATGAAATCATAGTAAAAATGAGGTTGAGAGCAGCAATGTTGATATCAAAATGGTAGCGTATGAATAACACACTGTTATAGATTAAGTCAGATGCACCCACCTAGCTCATCCCAGAACTGGCTACATTTATCAGTGAATGCTTGACCCTGAGTTCTCCAGACACACAGTTGAGGATCTGCCAAAAACTGCTCCGTCATTAAAGTTAACATACGTGCACCATTGGAGTCTCTTGCCCTCAGCATTTCACGAACCTGAGTTCAAATTAAAATATTGTTAATAAGAATATAAATAATTACTGAAAAAAACTCATGGAAACTAATTAATAAAGTTACTGATTATAAAACTTTTTAATAATTGGTAACACTAATCAACATTTAATTCAACAAGTTTAGCTTTAACTATCAAGTTAAATCAGCAGATCTATATTATATCTTTAACCAAGTTGTGAAACCAACAAAACCAACTAAACACAGACCTTGGCAAACATTGAATGAAGCTGAGTAGAGGGACCTGTGTAGCCACCCTGAGATAGAAATGTTCTGACTTGCTCTCTCACTTGATCCTCATCTAAATGCCAGGAGTTGTCATCGTCTACTGAAGCACCAGCTGTGGGATCTGGGGCACCTAGACACAGAGAATACACCATTAACAAACTTATCAGAGACACAATAAGCATATAAGAGTAGGCTGTGTATAAAATGTTGTGACATAAACACACTTCACTAGGGAGGAATTTTTAATACATTATTAATAACAGTTTCTTTGGTGAATAGCTAACTTGATGAAAAATAAATAATGTTGAAGCTTAAGTTAAAACTAGTGGTAACCAAAATTTCTTCAGACAAACTCAACTGCCCTGTTTACCATCAAGTCTATGAGGGTAGGTACTAGATTCCTCATTCAAATTATAAGTAAAATATAAGAGGTCCATTAAGCAGATCAATTTTTTTTTTTAAAATGAGCTGTTACCTGGCAACAAATTGATTTCTGACTCTGCTTGTAAAATTTGGTCGGCTATCTTCTGTGCTGTAGGTAAGACATCTGAATGGTGCTCTGTGATCAGATACTGGGCAAATTTCTGGAGCTGCTCCCTTGACATTTGCAAAAGTGTTTCTGAAATGTTGTTACATACATAATGGGTTGTATTGGCCAATGTACCAACTGTGGGTAGCATGAAATACTTACTACAGTGGGTATGGTTTCCTTCTTACTAGTAGTAGCAAAAGCAAAACTAATGGACAGGAGCAAACTTTAACCCCTTAAATAATGTTATGTAAACTTGATCTTTGTATTAGTTTTTAAAAAAATGTGGAATTTGAAATTTAAAAAAAAAAAAAGATTTTTAAAATACAGCAATTAAAAATAAATATGAGTCATGACTGAAGGAAGAAAAAGTTACCTGATATTGGAACACGCAGCTGAACGGCCTTGGCCTTTCGAATTCGGTAGAGTGAAAGCGCCACCACATGCTGACACCAAAAAATATCTCTGTTGCCACAACTGCATTGTACAGAAGTGATCTTGCACCTAGGTGAAAAAGTCATTGGAAAATGTAAACAAGCATCACCAGACCCTCAACTGGAAGTTAATTTAAAATCTTAAAAGATGAAAGTAAACTATTTAATAGAAGTGGTTAAAACACTAAATAAATTGTTGATAGATATATTTAATTTAAATCATTTAACTATTGAGTGCAAGAGTTCACAAATAAAAGGAAATAGAAATTAAAATATAGGTTAAATAAAAAATGTAATTACCGATCAAAACTAATAGAGACTTTAAAAATTTTCTCAGGTTGTGTCAGAAGAGGATTGCTTGGTTCTGTCACTGAGCCACTCAGATGAAATCCTTAATAAGAAAGAAAAAAACTACTGGATTAATCATGTTTAAATATTTGGGCTATTTCTTTTTTGTGTACTGGTATGTTGTAACAAGCATTTGAAATACTTAAAAATAAAGATTGTAAAATAATAATAGTAATGCACAATGATGCCAGATAAGAATAATTAAAGCAAAAAAATTAATGTGATGAAATTATATCACTTTTATTGTACTAGTGTGGATGAAAGGCACTTCTATGTTTGAAGATTGCACCAGTTTCCCCAAAAGTTTTTTGTGTGTAATTTTGTTTTAGGATTATGGTTAGGCTGTAGATTCTAGGCAAAATACTTAAATAGAAGATCTCGGTCAGAGCAGTGATAACCCTAAACTGTGTTTCTGATTTGCTTAACTGCAACAACACGAATAATCCATACAATAATTATAACCTTTTATCCTAAAACTTGATGCCCCCCACAAACTGTCCTTAAACAATGTGGTATTGCACTTTAAGTTTACCAATTTGTTTTCTTTGGTAAATTAAAAACTGGCTGATTCATTTAAATGAAGTTTAAGCTAGATCAAGTTGAATTATTTTTAAATTATTATCACAATTTGATAATACAAAGCAGGTTGGCATGGTAAAGCCCATGGTTGCTAAGTCAAATAGCCCAGAGTTCGAGCCTCTGGGCAGCTCAGGCTCAATAGCTTGGGACAGCAATCCATCTAGGAGAGAAACTTGTCTAGTAATTTGTGGTTGGACACAGGCTGTAGAAGCATATCCAGAAAGAAAAGCAGGCTGAAAACTGAATCAATGGCCTACATATCACAAAACTAGTTGACACATAATTCTTAATTCATTTGTGTTGAAGGAAATAACTTAACATTACAATAAAGAACGAAGAAGATAAAGCAACAAAGCAAAGCAACCCAATAATCAATAAACTAATTGATCTATTATTCTATTTTAAATATTAAATTATTAGTTAGGCACATTAGGAAATACTATTCTAGAATCTAGGTAGATCTAGATCTAGATCTACTGCACGCATTCCAGTTTCTATTTAATAATGCAATCTAGATTCTAGATCTAGATCTAGATCTAGATTAGATTCTAGATGTCTTAAAATGTCCTGTGAATGTTTGTTATTTGTTATTGATTCATTCAATGTGTCACTGCGACGGACACTACTGATTTTTTTGTTAGTTTAGTAACAGTTATTGATTAGCTTAAACAGGACGACATACCTATTTGAAGAACATTTGCTACTGCACCATTTTCGAGAAGGCGAACGCCTTGGTGAAATGGAAGCTTCTGGTTTTCTGAATGTTCTTTAGCACAATTTGCATAGGACGAATACATGTAAATATCCCGTTCATTGCGAGGAAATGACCAAAACACGATTTTACTCTGGACGGGCTCTGGTATTCGATCATACTGCTGTTCTATACGTTGAAACGGAATATTTTCTGCTACAATTTTTGCAGCGATATCTAAGAGGCTGTCTACTTGCTTCAGTTGTTTTCGACTGGGGCCCCCAGATTGGCCTTCAATTCTAAAACTAAGTGAACGAGATGGGCAGTGTCTCTTTGCAGCCGCCATGAGAATCCATCCAATTCTTCACTTCCCACTACCCAGGAGATTTCCTTAACATGCGCAAAGGACTAGATAAAGATTAAAATAAAAAATAATAATAAATCAATATGCGCATGCGCAGTGATCAAAATAGGAAGTAATACATGTTCAAGGCCTCAGGAATTCCCCTGCGGGATATCCTAGGGAAATGAATGAAATTAGCAAAAGGCCAGGAATCTGTATATTTTATTTTCAACTCACTACTCTCCACCAACAATCTTTGCAAAAATAATCGAAATCGACACTCCCACTAGAAGAGAAATGCGAATGCTTTGTTAACATTAACTAACAGGATGAGCACGTTGAATGTTGAATGAATCAACCCAACCTAACGAATTATAACGGAAGTTGTTGAGTGGTATTTGCGTAAGGCCTGGGATTATTAAAAAAAAAAAAGCAAGTCTATTAATAAAGCAAAACAAACTGACCTAAAACAGGATCTAGACTCTAGATCTAGAAACTAGATGAAGATCAGATATAGATCTATCTAGATTGTAGACTAGATCTAGATTCTAGAATCTAAAATAAATGATGTCTGAAAGCGTTTTAGTTTTTTTTTGTAAAAAAAAACGTATGGTTTTTAAAACCCTCTGTTCTTTACTGAGTAAATAAAGGAGATTCATTTGGATTTGGTTATTTTCTTATCAAACAAGCCATTGTTAAAATGTTAACAGAACAGCACTTTAAAATTAATGAGCTGTAAAAACAGTAGTAGAGATCTACATCTATTGATCTAGACAACGTACAGCGAGCCTATCTAATTCTCACATAGGGCCCAATAGATTTATTCGATCACAAAAGCCTTAAAACACAGGCCTACGGCGTGTAAGGTATTCAATTATTTTCTTTGTTTCGTATTTAAAAAGTGAGGTAAATAGTAGTGTAGCGATATCGACGGCACATGAAATTACACCTTTACCGTGCAGCGTAGGCCTGTTGCTATATAGCCTGGCATAGAGAATTGTTATATGGGTCTGTTAACTGTCAAACAGCGATATTAAACGTTACAAGAGAAACACTGTCGTGGGACTCCGCAATGTGGCAGAGAGGGGGGGGGGGGGGAGGCGAACGTAAGCGGGGGTGGTGTGGAGAGGGGGTGTCATATTGAGTGTCCATAATATCTATCGACTTCCATAGTATTACAACTCTTTCGATAAATAGTTCTGTATAAGGGGCTATCCATAAACACTGACGCTTTTTATCTAATAATCCTCCCCATTGTCACACATCGTCACAAAAAGCCAGACTCCCCCTCCCTAAAATGACGTCACACATCATCATACAATCTTCCCTGAATTCGCATTAAAAAAATTAAAAACGGCGATCGATTTGATGAGAAGCCTTTCTTTTAACCAGTTACAATTTACAAAAAAAAAAAAAAAAAAAAAAAAAAAACAACACATTTTTAAAAACGCAACATAACGGCTTAAAGTAAGTTTCTAACTTAAGTTTTGAAATGCAAAACTTTTCGACACACTTCCTGAACGTCACACATCGTCACAAAATTACGACCCCCCCCCTACCCTTGGGAGTGTTACACCATTTATTGACGATCCCTACAAATTAATTGACGAACTTTAAAAAAAAATTATTCACCTTTTGAAAACTACATTTTCCTCTTATTTTAAACAATATACCTTGACAAGATTCTCATTAGCCCCCCCCCCCCCCCCCCCCCACCCAGCTCACAAAGTTCCCACACAAATTTTAAGGGAAAAAACGTCAATAGGACAACTGAGTGGGTCTCGTAGCCCAGGGGTCTCCAAACTACGGCCCGCGGGCCGGATGCGGCCCGCAAAGTCCTCTTATCCGGCCCGCGGAGATCCTTTTTGTCCACGGAAAAAATGTCTGTTAGAGGTGGCTGAGGAACTTTGCCCAGAAAATTCAAAACAATTTGAAAATGTAGCTTTGGGTGCAAATACCATTGCCCACCGTGTTGCAGATATTGGTGAAAACAACGTCACTCAAATAGCGAAAAATGTAAGCACGTTTCACTATTTTTTAATTGCAATGGATGAGTCGCTGGACAGCTGTTCCACCTCTCAGCTGCTTGTGTTCATTAGAGGTGTGATTGAAGACATGAACATAACACAAGAGCTGGCTTTCCTACATAATATGTATGGCACTGTTACCGGAGATGATATATTCAATGAGTTAAAGAAAACATTTGCTGATTATAACTTAGACTGGACTAACCTCAGTTACCTGACTGTTAATGGGGAAAAGTACATTAGTGGTATAAAGAATGAGACAAGCGAATGAGAAAAATATTCTACAACCAATGCTCATGCACTCTATTATTCATCAGCAAGCTTTGAGTGCTAAATATATGGACATTAGCAGTGTATTGAATCCTGTGGTGAAGATGGCGAATTTAATAAGGTCACATGGGCTCGACCATAGATATAGAATACGTGAAGAATAATTTGAGAGAAAACTTGGACCTCGAGTGTGTTGTCTGTCCCCGACAGAGTTTCTTTCAGATTTTTTTCTCTGGGGGGGGGGGGGGGGGGCAATTGAAATGTGTATATATTTCTATATAAATTATATTGGGGGGGGGCGGTGGAGGTTTTTTTTGGGGGGGGGGGGGCGGCTCCATAACACTGAAGATATGCCTTGAAGAAACTCTGGCCCTAGAACTGATATTTGATAGTCAATGCGGCCCTCGGTCTGAAAAGTTTGGAGATCCCTGTCGTAGCCTGATGCTAATCAGCTACAATGTTTAGCGGATCTAGATAGCCATTGGTTCATGTTGCGTAAGTAGGCCTACCCTTTCCTTCAAAGATAATTGCTCTTCTGTGTCACAATGGGGGGTTAGTGTGCTTTTTCCTGGGTCAGAGGTCACCTTTACTGAGTCCTCATTTACCTTTTAGGAACCAACTGGTCCGCCCACTTATTTAGGGGAAAGGCGAATCTGTATCCGTGTTGTTGCCGTGGTGATATATATATATATATATATATATATATATATATATATATATATATATATATATATATATATATATATATATATATATATATATATATATATATATATATATATATATATATATATATATATATATATATATATATATATATATATATATATATATACCATCGTCGCTCGCGACAAACAAACCCACAAACGGACATACCTTCTTTTTACTTTCTCGTATATACGAAGTATAGAGAAAGTCTTGTAATCGTGCAAAAAAAAAAAATCGAGATTTTTACAAATCTCGACGTTTTACACCTCACTGATACGGAAAAACATAATTTTGCAATCTTGTCCGTATGTCTGTGTCTGTGTGTGTGTGTGTGTGTGTGTGTGTGTTCGTGTGTAAACACGATAACTTGAGTGCCGTTACAGCTAGGTTGATGAAATTTCATATATAAGTATTTTATCAAAATCGTAGATCCGTATCAACTTTTGAGCGATTTCCGATAACCGGAAGTGGTACTTTTTCTACTTTGAATTTTTCAAAAGCCTATAACTTGAGTACTATTTCAGATAGATAAATGAAATTTCACATGTAAGTAAACGATCTAATCCTCTACCTTCTGTTAAATTTTGAGTAATTTCCGTTGACCAGAAGTAGTAATTTACGCTACTTCCGATTTCTCAAAAAAACTAATGTAAATTTTTAAAGTACTAATAATATTGCGCACTATTATGCACTTTTTTATTTGGCGTTCACTTGGTGTGCAATTAATTTGTCTACGAGATTGTATTCTATTTTTAAAACTTTAACTATTTAAAATGGATTAAAAATCATGTCTATAGCCCGAGTTCCCATCCCCTGTTATTTTATACGAGCCGACCCGCGGCATATCATACGCCGCTATTTAGTTGTTTTTTTTTCTACTTTTCAGTAATTCATAATTTGTGAATTCGACAGTACCAATGCTGCCACTGAAAATATGTGCTTTAAAACACTACCCCCCCCCCCCCCCCGTGAAAGCAGCCTCCTCTTAGTTACCTCCTCTAATTTTAAAATCGTTTCAAACTAAATTATCTGCCCCTAATAGCTATTAGGCTCTATGATTGTAAAATGTAGACATTTAGAGTGAACTACAACTCACCAGGCCATGTAGGGGTGGTGGTGGGGGGCGGGGGGGGGGGGGGTAGCGATAGAGAGGAAGAGAGGGGACTGCAAAGGCGCGCTTGCAGCTTGTTTTCTAACGGCTCCCAGAAGAGAATTATATATATAGATAAGAATATTCGAGAAAGTTTAGGGGAGATCACTCCCGGTTTATTATATTCTTAGATCGCGTTAGGGGCAGACGCTAGTTTTAAAATTTGACTTGAATTATCAAACTTTGTTTGGTAGCTTCTGTGTCTCCTCTGTCCTATTTCAGAGCTGGCAACAGTGGTTTCGACAGATAGGGTCAGTAGGCCTCACACATTACCAAGGAAATGATAATCTATAGATGGAGGAAGGTTTGTGCTGTAGGTTTAGAATCTCCATTTCAACGTAGGCAGCATTGTTTGATCAGTAGAAGAGGTGAACAGCCATATTGATCCACAGTATATTTGGATATCGTAATATTAAACAAGTCAATGTTACTGTAAGACCAACACTTAAAAAAATATAATAACAAAATAATGATTAATATTGATTAACGATATGCCAAACAGAGAAAATGGAGATGGGTTGTCCACACACTCAGGAACCCTGTATCCAGCATAACAAGACAGACCCTCGCCTGGGAATCCACACTGCAAAAGAAAGAGACGGACCAAGAAAGACCTGGAGAAGTGACCTGGAAGAAGACACCAAGAAGATTGGATACACCTGGGGACAGTTTGAGAGACTAGCCCAGGACAGAGATGTCTGGAAAGCTCTTGTCAGCGGCCTATGTCCCAGGAGGGGCGACAGCCTAACCTAACCTAACCTAACCTAACCTAACCTAACCTAACCTAACCTAACCTAACCTAACCTAACCTAACCTAACCTAACCTAACCTAACCTAACCTAACCTAACCTAACCTAACCTAACCTAACCTAACCTAACCTAACCT